GAAAACTGCTTAACCTTATTGCTCTATTTCTGGATGTTCCCCCATGGCCAAGGGCTGTTGAGATCCTGATTTCCCCCGGAGCTTTCCCATTTGGGAATCCAGTGAAACCTCTGAAATCGAGAGGAATTGGAGAGAAGGCCAGCTGGAATTAGGGAGTGTTCTGAAAACTTTTTAAGGATACTTGAAGTCTGTTGCTTTAAAAAGACATGGGATCATAGATCTGGAACAAGACAAGCCTAGTGCCCTGCTCAGTTTAGGAACTTTATGCTTCCCTCTGCTGCAGGCTTCATCTGGGCCTCTCCTGCATGCTCCCCTAGAGAGGATGCTCGCTGTTCTGGTAGACATTACTTGTCCCACCGAGAGAAGCCTTCCTGCACCTTAGCTGCAACCTGACTTCCTAAAAGGCTCTCCTTTATCTCCAGTATTCATGGTCACCTGGTGTCCCACTCTGTTTCCTCAGGCGGTCCTCTACTATTGGAACGTAGGCACTGTTCACTGACTAGTGCTGCTCAGCATTGTGTTCTGCAGGCTGGCCACTCCCAGGGAGAGCCGTCATTACTTCTATGACAAATGTCATCAACTGTAATTGGAAACATAAATGACTATCTCTAATGAGCCTTCAAGCGAATAGCTATATAAATCCAGAGCTTAGACACCGACTACACTGGCCTTGTTATTTCACAGCCATGCAGACTGGGGTCCGCTCAGCAAAGCTGCAGTTACCCAGCTTCAGGGAGACCGAGAAAGGCAATGAGAAAGGAGGGGCTGAGTTCTCCATTCACTCAAACCCTCACTGTGTCGATCTTGATCCAGGGCCCTGTCCAATTCATCCTGCCTCTTAATCATAAAACATGAGCATTTCTCATGCTCTTGAGTATGTTTGGAAAGTTTGTTCTCATAGATACTTCAAAAATCTCTCCTTCAAATTATATCTGTGCTGTTAAGTAGGAATTAGCATAAAGCTGAAGTCAGTAGAGGTTGTACTGCTAATAAAAGTACCATTCAAAGTGCATTAATCTTTTTTTTTTGCTGTCAGAAAATCCTGTTTTGCCCTAATATGCTAGACCCAAACGGACAGCCTATGTATAGAGTCACCTGCCTGTCCAACTTAGGAGAACTTCTCCACTTCAGCACTGAGAACTAACTAAGCAAAATATGGGGTAGCCTGTGTTTCTGCTTGATCCTGCTATGTTCTCTTTAGAATTTCATATCCTCTTTACAGTCTGCCCTGATTCTCTCACGAAAAGATGAAGCAGAGACACAGAGAAGCAACCTAGATAGTTCAGTGATTGGTTTCCTGTCCAGGTCCCTGGCAACCTTAAGTCACATGCTTGGGAGGGCACATTCCTCCCTGCCCCACTGCACAACAGTCTCCCTCTTCTCGCAACAAGGTATTGCATTTCCAATTCTTATACTTGTTCTGGCACATAGCGGAAGCTGCATCATGCTGCTTCCTGGCTTGCATGGATGCATGGCTCTGTGGACCCTGGAATGCCACAGATGTGTGTTTTAGATCAGACTCTGCCATAAGCTGAGTGTGACTTGGGCAAATTATCCAAGTGTCTGAACCTCATTTCTATCATTTTCCAGATGAGGATGGGTAGGCTGCCTATATCCAAAGTCTGTAAACATGACCTGACCCCTATTAGATGCCCAGCACAGTCCTTATCATTCTGTAACATTCCAGAAAAATTTATTTAGTGTTATCAATATATTGATATTATAATGCATATTTTTTCATACTACACACAGCAAGTACTCCATAAATCTCTCCAGGAGTTTAAAGAGTTTGTGGAAAATGAAATTAAAAGATAAGTTTAGTTGGGTGCAGAAAAAAAAATGAAACACCTGCACTGTCATATCCCCAGTTGATTCTGGTCTAGGTTGTTTGGTGATAAGTTCACAATCAGAAAGATCCAAAGATTATAGAAGATCCATTCCTGTTCCCAAAGTCTCTTCCCTGCAGATTCCTTCCGCTAGTGATTGTCTCAGTGGGAGGCCCACCCTGTGGTGCCACTGTTCACACATGTCAGTTTGCATCTCAGGAGAAAGTTCTCATTTGACAGACTCAGAACTTGCTGTCCAGGCAAAGAAAACTTTGTTGATGAATCCAGCACAAACCTTATGTAACCAGCACGTCAGCAAACAGAGGGACGGAGAGACGGAGAGACGGAGGAACACAAAGCCACACAAAAGGAGTTGGAAAGCAGGGAACTGCGACATGCTCAGAGGCACTTGCTTGTCTTTATCAAGTCCTAAACGGCTTGAATGTAGCTGGTTTTCTCCTTTAGCTGAGAATTAAAATGAACAATTCCTTTAACTCTAAGAATATATATATATATTCTATTGACATAGTGTACTAGTGATACTTACTGGTACTTTATACTTACTGCCTAGGACTTACACATGATGACAAACAAATTTCCAACCTTTGTGTCTGAAATACAATTGTGGGAAATTTCTGCCTGGGGTAGCCTGAAAGTCCTGACTGGTCGTAGAGTTAAGAAATCTCCCAAAGTTCTTAAATGTAAAGGATTTCATAGTGTATTCTTGAAATGAATGATATTTTTTTCTCTAGTCTCTACTGCAGATTACTTATTCCTTGAATTTTGTATTAGCAGCTTGAAGTAAATTTTTTTAAAAATCCACTGCAACAAAGTTGTCATGTTACAGCCCCAGGGGGAAAAAAAGTTCCCAGTTGAGGGTAAGGGCATAATGCAATGACAATGTGACTACAAGAATACTGTGGCTCCTGGCAGGGTAGTTTGGTTAGCTGCTCTGACATCCTTGGCTGCTTCTGTTGGGCAGTTCATGCACCCTCCACCCCCTCAGGCTTTTGGTTTCTTCAGGTGTCAAATGCTTTCTGTGGGCTTTTTCATAGGGAGTTCCTGTTGGGTTACAGGGTCATGCAGAAAAGCTGGAGGAGCTGCCCAGTGCAGGAGAAGGGCAGTGTGAAAACAGGTATAAGTACTCTAGGAGAAAGGTAAAAACGCTAAACGCATGTGCTCTCTGATTCCAAACCATACTCCTGGCATTCTCCTGATGGCTAGCGCTTGCCCAGATACCCCATCACCACGCTGAAAGGAAGCAGAGAAGGCCAGTGCTTTTCTGGTTGGGGACCTTGGCTGGGGACGAAGGGAAGAGAGAAATGAAGTCAGGTTCATGAGCCAGTGAAATGGCAATGACCCCTGTGGGCTGATCCTCCCTCCACAGCCCGATGTTGCCAAGGAGGGCGAGCCACTTCATCAAACCTGGGCCAAGCTCTGGCTCAGAACACACAGGCAAAAATAGAAAGGGACTAGGAGAAGAAATGTGTTTACTTTTGTGATTTCCCCTCCTGTGCCTTTTAACAGTAGTGTAATCTCTCTACACATAGGCAGTAACGGCCCAGTCTTTGCTTCTATTGATAACCCTCCCAAACAGCTCACATACAGACCAAAAACCTTCTTCAAGGCTTGGGCTCACTATCTGGGTAGTTGTAAAGCAGATTCAAAGGGATAGCAGGACACAGGGAGAGTGCACTGGCCTGGACTTCATCTTTAAAATTCTTTCTCTCAGGCCCTGCAGAATAAGATACTTGCACCAGACAGAATCTAAATGTTCACTTAGATTTTAAAGTTGATCGCCATGGCTCTCTACTAGTTGCGATTTCATCCCTATAAGGGTATTTAGAAGTGCTGGAGATTTGTTTCAATTCTTACATTGGCAGCTGAAGGGTAGAAGTTAACGATGCTACTCCCAATTCAACAATGGGACAATTCCACAACAGAGACTTTGTTAAGGCTAATAGTGCTGAGGATAGCGAGAAGAGCTAGTGGGCGAGGGAAGAAGGGGCATAACTAAAGAATGGGTTAAAATCAATATGTGCTTCCCAGCTTCTCTCCTGAGGACCAAAACCCTATATTTTCCCTTGGAATCATGGTGCTAGGTTTCAGTAACTTTCTTATACGAACATCTTCCTTTTCCTTAAAATGCCGATCCCTGGTGAAATGAGATGGCCAGGATAGAAATATAAACAGTTCTTAAACAAGTAGTGCTGGGTGGGTGGCAGGGGTGTGTGGAGGGACAGAATGTATGCCCAGAACTCCATTTCTATGAGTCAGTGCATCTGAGGTCACAAAAGAGAATAACAACCCCAGGACAAGCTGAGCTATGCTGAGGGCAGGCGGAATGCATGTGGACCACAAGCATTAGGAGAGAGATACAGACTTGCCACGGCAGAGACAGAGGCAGAGAAAAGGGTTAAGCAATCAGAGCATGTCATTCTTGTACCATTCCACATTAAGCCGCCGGGCAGTTATGACAAATAGTTACCTGTGGTTTCCAGTGGGAGAGGCAAGGACACTCCAGTCAAGGGGCTTTGGAGAAACAGGTGCAGTGAAGTCATGGTCAAACAATTTATTTACTGTAAACTTTAGACTTTGCTCAGGAAAACAACTGAAGCTGCCCCTCAAATCCCTGTCTACAACACCCGGTTTGAGCAAATAAGAGGAGCTGGGAAGAGTCCATGTTCACAGCTGAAAGGTCCAGGATACTCAAGATCCTCAAGTCCAAAGGTGCAGGAAGGAAACATATCCTTCAGATACAAATTAGCAGCAGCAATACATTTACCCCTAATACTTGGCCAATGAGGTAGATACATAGAAAAGTCACCACAATGTAGCAGACCCAGGTCCTCTGGGAACTGAAGCCCTTCGGACATCAACTTACAAGTTCCATGCAGAGAGGAACTGAACTGTACAAGAAACAAATAATCACTCAGATACATTTTCTCCTTTTTACAGCTTAAAAAAAAATTAAAAAATGCAGAAGGATACCTTCCATCTGCACATCTCTATACAATTTTATTCTAAATGTGTTACACTCAAGTTAAATAATCTGTTTAGTGTTCTGTGGCAGGGGTGGGGGTCCTTAAGAAGTTGGAAAGCTGCATTACAGCAGTGAGTCCTTTGTGCTACAGTTCATCTCTCGGAAGTCAACGCTAGTTTTAGGCACAGTACCTTGACAAGTCCCCAAGTCTTCCATGCCTCCGGGGTCCTCGGGATCCTCACACAGCAGCTTGCTTTCCTTTACTTGCTCCAAGTGATATCCGCTCTGCTCCCCAGGGTAGTCAGTGTAATTAGCAGTGCTATTGCTGGAGTAACCATTCCCATAGGCCTTCAGAGAAGACCTGTGAAAGCACAGAAGCTCCTGGAAGGCGATCCTGAAGTCTGGGCTCCGACAGTAGATAAGGGGATTGAAAGCAGAATTGACATAGCCCAACCAGTTCAGGAGGATGTAAACTTCCTTAGGGATGAGGTTGTCCTGGATCACATGCACAATGTTGACAATGAAGAAGGGCAACCAGCAGAGAGTGAAAGTGCCCATGATGATACCCAATGTCTTGAGAGCTTTGTGCTCCTTCAAACAGAACTTGGAGGACCTGCGAAGTCCAAGCCCAGGCCCACCCCTCGCATCCTGCTCCACCTGGCTGAAGTTTTGAGCGTGGAATCGGCCTTCTGATTTGTCAATCTTCCGAAGCTGCCTTTTGGCCACCTGGAAGACCCTGGAGTAGACGAAGACCATGATGACCAAGGGCAAGTAGAAGGATACGATGGAAGAGGCAATGGCATAGGCTTGGTTTGTGAAGAAATCACAGCAGGTCTCCTTGGCATAGCAGTTGATGGCTTCCTGATGGGTGGCCCGGTACCAGTGCATCTGGATGGGCAGAAAGGAGGTCAAGCCGGACACAATCCACACCATCAGAACGACCACACGGGCCTTATTCTTGGTCAGAAGGCTCTGGTACTTGAAAGGAGAAGTAATGGCGAAGTAGCGATCCACTGCAATCACGCACAGTGTCTCAATGCTGGCTGTGACACACAGCACATCGATAGCAGTCCAAAACTCACACCAGAAGTTACCAAAATTCCACATTTTCATAAGGATGTGGCTCGCCCCAAAGGGCACCACAGCAAGGCCCATAAGCAGGTCAGCACAGGCCAGAGAGGTGATGAAGTAGTTGGTGACCGTCTGCAGGCGCTCAAACTTGGCGATGGCTGTGATGACCAGAACGTTGCCAAACACGATGGCCAAGACGATGAGCGACATGACGATGGCCATACCCACCAACCATGCGTTGTCCTGCTCCTGAGTGACGTTGTGGTCCGGTGTATGGCTTCCGTTCGGCGCCAGTAAGAAGCCGCTGCTGTTCCCCGGTTGCCCCATGGCACACTTGCAGGCAGGTGAGCGTACTTGTGGCCGGCTGCACGCTGGCCGCGCCTCAGCGAGCGCGCCCCCAGCGGGGCGCTGCGGGCCGTGAGAGGACTCTTGTAAGCTTCATTCAGCCGCTGTGGGGTGGATGTGGTAGGCGCTTCCACTCAGCGTGTGGGGTGCTCTGAGTTCGCTGTGCCAGCCAGCTCCCGCCTGAGCTTGAGAAAAGCCACCTCTGATTGTGCTCTACCCGTTATGTGCACGGGACTTTAGGGCACTGCCTCCCCAGTGACGTAGGGCAACTTTTGGCCAATGGTGCGCCTGCAGCCCCGAAAGGGCCGGCACTTGTCTCCTCCGCTCCCCTCCCCTTCCCGCCTCCTCCTGGGGCTGTCAGGGTGGGGCTCAGCTGCTCCCTGGCAGGCTGGCCACCACTCCCTCCTGGCTCCTGGGGCTAGCACCCCCTCCCCCCAGGGCTAAAGCTAGGGCTTGGGTGCCTAACAGCCAACCCAGGAGCTGAGCTCATCTGTGCCTACTACCTGTCTGCCCAGGGCACCCGAGCGCATACCAGCGCCCGCGGGAGTTTGGAAACAGCGACCTGAGTGTCCCTGAGAGACGCTCAAACAGGCACTAAGCACCCCTACAGTGGGACGTGCTCAGACTTATCCGGAACTACAGTCGGAGACTCTAGGACACTCCCGCCCAGTGCATGGACATGCACACTTGTGCACGCTCACAAGGAGCCCACAAGGCATTGTCGCCTCAGCCCACGGCTCCCACACAAAGGCATGGGCAGCAACAGCGAGTCAAGCAAACATGCGCACATGGGCTTGCAGGCACTCTTGCGCGTGACCCCTTGTGAGTACTCAGTTCTCCACCTCGAGCTCAAAATCACCATCCCCCCACCCCACCCCACCCCCCCTCTCCACCCTATCACCCTGTATATTCTTTTTCAAACTTTTGGCAAGACTGCAGGAGGTGACTTCAGCAAGGGCCGATTTCCTCAGCACAGTGGCTGTCAAGTACTTCGGGTGCCCTCCTTGGGAACTTAGAGCCACTGGGAAGGTCTTACCCTTTTCAGATTTCGCTGGAACTGGTTGGGGCTGGGTGTATCCCTAGTTTGTGTGGGCAGAGAAAGCTGTATCTCCTTGAGAGTGTCATCTCTCATGCCAATTATTGAAATGCTTTCCTTTCAAACAAAAGTGGCAAGTATGAGGGGAAAAAAAGTCTTTTCAGCTGCCAGACCGTATGTAAATCTCTTTGATTGAACCTTATGAAATAGACACAGTTTGACTGCCTCTGACTTAGAAAAATGGCAATTTCATACAGTTTCTAAGATTCAGAATGTGGTAATTTTTGAAACCATGGAAATGTAATTCTTAAATAAGTCAAACCAAAGCCTTGAAACGAAGGTCCTTGTTCATTAAATATTATCCTTTGCATCTGACAAATGACTTTATTCTTAAAAAGAAATTCAACTTTCAGAGTTGGACTTCATATGTATTAGTGTTGTCTTTGAACAACAAAATATTTCATGCAATTTAACCAAGCATGCTTTGTAGATTGCATGATACTGTTACAATGGCCACCAATTATGGGAAGTTCTGCTATACGATTTTCATACATTATTCCATTTAATCCTTCCCACAGTTTCATGGGGTAAAGTGTGTGTGTGTGTGTGTGTGTGTGTGTGTGTGTGTGTGTGTGTGTGTGTGTGAATGAACTATTTTTAACTTAATTCACAAATAGGAGTCAGAGAAAAATACCTTGCCTGGAGGCTATGACTAGTTAGTGCCTGCTGTTGGATTTGAACCCAAGGCAGGACTGTAAGACCTGTTCTCTAATCTCTTCAGTATGGGGTGTTATTACAAGCAGAAAAGAGCAGAGGCAAAGCATTTATAAATCACTGAATCATTTAGAATATGTTGGTAGTGTTCTCTGCCAGAAAAATAAACTACTTTGGGACATAACTAAGTTGGGTCTTTGTTCGATAACAAAAATTCAAATATCTAACCTACATGTTGCCTTCCTTGAATAACAGAAGCGGTCTTTTTGTAAGACAGATGGCTCACAAAACAAATATTCCCCCCAAAAACCACAAATATTAAAGTTCTATTATGTTCATCTAGTTTGCAAAATATACTCACTGTACTTTCCAAAATTGGCTCTAGTGTGATGCATTTTAGGAAGAGGCAGTGTCTGTTATGCAACAAAGTTTGTTTAAATACATATCCACCATGAATGTGGAACTAAACCATTTTACGCCTCCTTCCTGTTTGTGAAGCTATGGAATAAGCAAGCATATTGTTTACCTTCCCCTAGCGAATAGAGAATGAAGAAAGGCTCTTCAGGGTGAGTGTGATTGCTTGTTTACATAAAACCCTACATTGGAATACTTAGGGAAACAGCTTTCTTAAAAGCATACACAAATATTTCGGATGTATGTCTACCAACCTTGACCAACAGCCAACCTTCTTTCTCTTTCATCACTAAGCTGGAAAGAACTTCAAGATGTTCTTACTAAGAGACTTTTCTCCTGACCTGATTTTAGACTTACAGGATTAGAGAAAGTTTAACTAGAAAGAAAGAGTATAATGGATCATTTAGTTTATTTCCCTGCGTTTGCAAAAGGGAAAAGTGAAGAATTGAGAAGTGTCTGGTCCAAAGTGTAGGGTGTAGGGCGAGAAAGAGTCCAGGACTGCCTTTGGACCTCCTGCTGGGTCTGTCCAACCCCGCTTTTTCCCTAGGAGACTGCCTACAGATGAGTGGTGCTGATGGTGATGTGACCTTGCAGAATTAAGGCTCCAGGAGAATTGGGAAGTTCTCAGTACACTAAATGCACCTTTAACAGATGTAAGAAAGAGCAGGCTCTTCTATGGTGACTGATAGTGTCTAATTGCATATTTTGTCAATCCCTTAAGATATTGATTTGTTGTATTCTGCTGCCAGGTAGGGAGGGAAAAAAAGGAAAAATCCTCATAGTTTTTGGTTTACCTAATGTGTATCTGGATAGGCATTAAGACTTCCAAAGTGTGAGGGAATGTCCTTGCAACATAAGCTGCATGACTTAGGAAAATTTTATTGTGGGTCTTGCTTTAGATAAAAGGCACCCCCATCCTTATGATTCTTACAGAAATATCTGTGCATCTCTTATTTATTTAGAATGTGTATATTTAATAATTTCTCTAAAGCACTGTCTGATCCAATTTACATTAAATGCATGTAATGTAGCTGATATGCTTTAGTAAAGACATTTGTTTTCTATTATCCTACGTCAAAATCAGAATGCATATGTGAGATACCTATTAACCTTTTCAGATTGGGTGAAAGAATATTTAGAACTTGGGTAATTAGCAGTTTATTTATTTATTTTTTAAACATTTATTTTTATTGGAAAGGCATTTACAGAGAGGAGGAGAGACAGATCTTCTATCTGCTGGTTCAAGCTGAACTAAACCAAAGCAAGGAGCCAAGGAGCTTCTTCTAGGTCTCCTATGCAGATGCAGAGTCCCAAGGCTTTGGGCCATCTTCCACTACTTTTCCAGGGCACAGGCAGGGAGCTGGAAGGAAAGTGAAGCAGCCAAGACATGAAATGGTGTCCATATGAGATGCCATGCGTGGAGTTTGAGGATTAACCAGTTGAGCCATTGCACCAGCACTGACAGTTCTGAATGAAACGTCTCAGAGTCTAGTCAAATCCTTAACACTGCACCCACCAACATTCTTGGGGACCCATTTCTAGAGAGGGCAAGTGTACCAGCCACTGTCATTTGCATGTTGTCTAGATTTTTAACTGAAATTCGTCTGTCTTCTGCTTAAGGATCTTAAGATTGCCCCCTTGAGGCCATTCAGTGTAAGTGTCTTTTGTTTTTCTCCTACACTAGATCCTTTGGAAGGATTCATTAAGATTCTTCTCTCAGGGTTAAATAATATTTGTTCCTATGGGACTAAAGTATCCTGTACCATCATGGCAGACTCTTCTGCTCATTCTGTTTCTTGATGTCTAAATTTAACATCACTACCTGGAAAGGTCCTAGGACATGTCATCAGTCAATTTGCAATCACCTTGGCAACCCTGAAGTAGACCAGAGCAAGCAGCAAAGCCTTCCAAAGCGCTGATTATACCAGGTGAATTTAATTTCCTGTTATGCTAGAGTTTTATGAGAGACATGCTAATCAATTCTCCACTTCTCATGAGTCCTGAACTAAAGGAGATGGCTTCCGATTAAAGTAGGGGAGAATTCAGTTGATCATTTAAGGAACTCCTTAATCTAAAAGCAGTCAGTCTTAGGACTGACTCTAGCTCATCTGTAGCAGTTTTTCTCAATGGATATTTTGCAAGAGACTTAAACCATATAGAAAACAATTTGAGGGACTATTCTTACCCATTCTTCCAAGACTGGCACAAAACTGTTATACTCCTAGGGACATAGCAGAGAAATTATTATACACCATGGATTGGATGCCTCTTGGAACAGGCTTGATTCTCTTGCTGAACCTGGGAGGGATTGCTTGGCGTCTCCTTCAGTTATGGGAATGCATGGTGTGTAAAGATGAATGTCTGATGTGACAGCTGTGTATGATGGAAGCAGTTTGATGCAAACAGCAGGGGTAAAAAACTAGGAAATCTTTGGCTTTAGTCCCAGAATAGCTGTCATGTTCTAGGTGACATTAAGTAAGTCATTTTTTTCTCTTTGAGCTTCAATCTGTTGGTATGAAATGGGTGGTTGGGCTTGGTGACCTCCAAGGAGCTTCCTAAAGTGAACAAGCCTGTCACAAGAAGCAAGTGTTCTGAGGGACATTGAGGTAATGAATTCCTGGATCTGAGGTGCTCCTGTGTTTTTGCCAAGCAAAAATTCACCAACATCCTACAAAAAAAAATGTGATTATGGACATTTCCCTGTATTTTGCTATTCGCATATCACCATCAGTTATGTTACTCTGAGTAGCAGGTGTAACTGTCCTACTGGATTATTGACTCATTTTTAAAACTCCAAAATGCATTTATTTTTAAAGAAAATTTTATATCACTGCCATTACCACACGTGGAAAACTGATGTCACTGGCCATAAATAGAAAGTAACCATGAAAACAAAACAATGCTAGTAAATTCTAGCTAAATTTTGTTGCTTGCCAAAGGCCTGAGCCTGAGACATACTTTCTTTTTATTGAAAAGGAAGATTGGAAAGTGCTAGGGAGATACAGATGGGACTTTGTTCATCTGTT